TAAGATGCTTAAATTCACCCCAAAATCCCTATTGTAACATATACTCTCATAATTTTTTCTACATAGACTAAAAGTTTTATAATAAGATGTCTTCTGACATTACTCTTTCTAGAAACCTTTTATCATACAAGTATTTCACTTACTGAACAATGAGAGGCTTGGTATCAAACACAAAGGGCTTGTTCAGTTTAGCAGAGATGGCATGATGCTTGGCCCGAGACATCAATACAAGTCCTTTATCACCTGGAAGCTTTGATTCTTTCATCTCATCTACCTCCCATTTTCCTACAAGACAACACAAAAAAGCTCCACACCTCTGAAGGTCCCTTAAATGGTAACAACAAACTAAATTCCCAAGTTATATAAGTCTATCATACTGACAAATTTTTAACATATTCCATTTATCTATGGGAGTTAGCCTATTAATACTAAACACATATATGCGTATATTTGACAAATATTAGGGTATGAGGTTTTTTCACTTGTAGCTTATTTATTATACCACTGCCTAGAAAAGACCTTCTACTAATATTTCCAACATTAGCTGCATAGGTGATTACAGAGGTATAACACTACTAAATATGAGGCAACACACAAAGATGGCAAAACTTCCAAAGGAAAATCTTGAGGCTTATATCTCCTTTTAAACTAGTCTTAAGAAATGCCATGCAGACAACATGTCAAACTTCTGTGTGCTATTATATCTGAACAAAATGTAATTCTCACCATCATATTTGGCAATTTCATCATCAGTATCATCTTTCTTGGCTTTGGATAAAATCCACCTATAATTAAAGACAAACCTCAAAATTAAGATTCAAATGACAGTTCGCCTGTGAAGAAAAACAATGTAAATGCTCATAAAAAAAGGACTTTATCCTGCTCTTCTTAGCCTACTTAACCACTCTGCTCTCAACTTTTAAATGCCATATAAGTAGTATTGATAACATTATATTCAACTCACAAACCTATAAGAAGTACCAACCTATGAAATAATTCCCTTTTTTTAAGACTCAAGAGAAAAAAATTTTCTCAAAGAATAAAATATAGGGTGGAGTACGGGAAGGAAAGGAATGTTCTCCTAAATGGACGGGAACACTGGAGATATAAAAGTGAGACATTTCACTGTGTAAGATGCTATCCAGAAAGGAATCCACTTTTCCCCACCTTATTTTGCCTCTAAGAATTTTTCCCCCTAGGAAACACTTACCCTGACAGAGTCCCTCTGTCAAAGGAATCAGCAAAATATACTTCCCCTGTCGGAACTGGAGCTTTATAGGTGACCTGTGTTAAATATATAAATGAATTTAAAAAGCAACATGCCTTTTTTTATGAGATTTTATTTTCTTGGTGTGCTTCCTATTGTCATAAAACTTTCATAGCCGGCATTCAAATTGGATCTATATACCCAGCCTTTGGCAAGATAGAACAAAGGCTGTGAGAGAGATCAATAGGTTATTTTAGCAAACTTTCCTTTCTCTTTGAGAAGGATTCAAATCTACCTGCATAACTTTTTTTCTTTTTTTAGAGATGGGGTCTTGCTATGTTGTCCAGGTTGGACCTGAACTCAAGCGATATTCCCACCTCAGCCTCTCAAGTAACTAGGACTACAGGTGCACCCCACCATACCCCACTGTCTTCAAACTTTTATCATCTCAAGAGGTAAGAGGAATAGATTCAAACACTTCAAACCTTTGGAGATGGAGGAGGAGTGCTGGTATCTGACTTTGAGTCTTCTACCTCTTCAATGACATCGTCAAGGTCATCCTCAATATCAATCACATCATCATCATGTCCATCATGAGCCTGAAGGACAGCGGTTCCAAGGGCCAGTAACATACACAGTAACCACTTCCCTTCCATGATCTACATATAAAAAGAGTAAAATAAGTTAAACATATTGCCTCCTATCTTAAACTTCATAATGACCACTAACCTCTCTCATTTAAAACTAAAGCTTTCAAATCAGAGCTAAAAGGAACTTTACTATGAGTATTTAATTTATAGATAAGGAAAGAGAGCCCAGAGAGATTAAGAGGGTTTCCTAAAATCAGTTAAGATTCAATTTCAAGAATATTTCAAAATAAAACTCAAACATACACAACTGTCCCCATAGAGAATATCATACTGGCCACACAGATCTAGGATATTCAAATACAATTCCCAACTAATCTCTTGCATTTGTAAAGTGCTTTACAATGGATAAAAGCCCTTTCACATACTAATATATAATGCATACTGATGAAAATATTATAATGAAATGATAACAGGCGATAACTAGCCTCACATTAATGACTTAATATGGATACCGCTATTATTGTCCAAAGATCAAGTGTAGACATGTTTTCAAACTTGTGTTTTTAGACTCAAAAACAAAAATATTAAAGCAAGAACCAGCTACTTTTATTTTCTAACCACTTAAGTGTTCTGTGTATGATATTAGACTGTCCAGGTGGCAGTGGGCTCTTTCCAAGGACCATAGATCAAAACCAATAAAAACTGAGCCACATAGATGCACAAAATGATTTGGTAGTAGGTGGATTTTCGTTTGGGGCCTGAGAAAGTAGAGCCAAGAGGCTGGGGAAAAAACAAGTAGAAGGTATAAAAATACGTGATAAACACACAGGGCATGCTTTTTCCTTACTTCCTGTGCCCACACAGTCCCCCAATCAACCCTAGTCTTTCATTCTTCTGCATTACCAACATCAAGAGACTTACTGGTACCTTGTATTACTATGGCGTCTAGTTTCTTCTTCCTCTTTCAAGCCATCCTACACCCAGATGACAGGCTTACCCAAGTTCTCTTTAATGAGAGTCCATGTTTGCAAAAATCTAAGTCCTCTAGTTAGCAGTCAGAACCCTCTCCCTCCGTAGCTGCTCTCCATGGTATTTCCCTAAGAATCCTCCACTCCCTCTGGTCTAGACATTTCCCATATGCACACCAAGGTTTGTTATTCATTTTCCCCTCTGCTCCCTTAACATTCCATTAAAAAAACTAAAATGCACACCAGAAGTATTGTTTTCCTCTTAATTTTCTCTTTTGACAAACTCTATGGATTCTGCTCCCCTTTCTCCCCAACTGCCACAGCCTACTTTTGCCCACTAGTTTGCTTTCTTCCCAGGCTATGTTCCTTTCCATATTCTGAAATAAGAACATGAGCCCAAGGTTTTAGCTAAAAATCACTATGTAAAGATATCGTAACAAGAACATTCAAGTCTGAAAACTCAAAAAAAAAGTTTTTATGAAGCTTTTACTAAAAGTGTAATCAAGCTCTATCATACAATATTCAACAAGTGATTGACAGGAATGTGGAAAAGTCAGAACTCTTGTGCACTGTTGAAGGGATTGTAAAATGGTGCAGCTGCTACAGAAAACAACTACAGCATGATCCGGTAATCCCAATTCTAGGTGTATATCCAAAATAAACAAGAGCAGAGTCTCCAAGAGATATCTGCACACTCATGTTCATAGCAGCACTACTCACAACAGCCAAGAGGTGGAAGAAATTTTAAATATCCATCAACAGATGAAAGGATAAACAAAATACTATACACATACAATGGAATACAATTTAACCTTAAAAAGGAAGGAAATCAGCCAGGCACCGTGCTCATGCCTGTATTCCCAGCACTTTGGGAGGCAGGAGAATTGCTTGAAGCCAGGAGTTTGAGACCAGCCAGGGCAACATAGTGAGACCGTGTCTCTCCAAAAAAAAAAAAAAAGAATTAAAAAAAAGGAAGGAAATTCTGTCACATGCTATAATATGGATGAACCTACAAGACATTATACCAAGTAAAATAAGCCAGCCACGAAAGAACAAATACTATATGATTCCACTTATATAAGGTATATAAAGTAGTGAAATTCACTGATATGGAAAAGGAGAATGGTGGCTATCAGAGGATGAGGGGAAGGAGCAAAGGAGAGTTGTTAATGGGTATAGAGTTTCAATTCTGCAAAATGAAAAAGTTCTGAAGATGTTTCACAAGTGTTCATATGCTTAGTATTACTACACTGTACACTGAAAAATGGTTAAGATGGTAAATTTCATGTGTTTTTTTACCAGAACTTTTTAAAAACAAACTTTTTTAAAAGAACAAGAAAGGAAGGAAGGAAGACAGGCAAAGCTGAGCCTAATTTTTGGTCTCTTATTTACAACGGAGCAAGAGAGACCTTTATTTTTCGGGCTAAGGCCCTCCCCCACCCTCAAAGAAAGAAAACCTAAATTAACAGGGCTCCGTCATAAACTTAGCTAGCCCACTGATCCATGGAAGCCATTTGACCAATTAAGTTCCTAGAAAAATGTAAATCAACTTATTCTAATGCAAAACTCCAAATTCCTTATAAACTTTATAATCATTTAAAGTGAGTGAGTGGCCGGGC